ATCCTTAGCGATGGGGGCAGGTGAGAGGACACACCTTAAGATTCTCCCAAATCGACCCGGGATGTGGGCCATGCCTCCAGTGGCCTGAGATGCCAACATAAAGAAAAAAAAAATGACTCCCCACGTCCCCTGGCTCAAACCCAGTACAAAAGTGACTATTTACAATGAAGGCGTGGGGAGTGTGTGGGGGGCACAGGAAGGAGGGGGTCAGAGTGAGCGCTCCATTTGAGGGAGGCCACGCCCCTGGACCCGCCTTTTAAAGGGACAAAGCCAAACAGCAGAGAGATTATAGAGGATCTCAATCCCCAGGGTGGGGCAGACCCTAGGGGTGAGGGATGGGGGTGGGGCATGGGATGGGGTGCGGGTGGGGAGGCATGGGTGGTGGGAGGAAATGGAGGAAAGGTAGCAACTGCCCCTAGCCTCCCCCCTCCCCGCTGCCGGACACACAGTTTTCCGTGGGATGAACACAGAAAGGGTTAATCAAAAAGAGTTCGATGAGCGAGTCTGACGGTCGAGTGGGGCGGGCTGGAGCAATGAGGCCGCAGGTCCCGGTGGCCGGTGGTGATGGAGTCACTTAGAAGATGAGAGGTTGGTGGTTTTGGGGGGAAAGGTGGGGTAGGGAAAGGGGTGGGGGAGGGGGGGTTAGGCAGTCCCCCCCAGTTATCTCTGGGAGACAAGTGTCCTGGACTGGTTGAGAAGGGATTGAAAACCAGCAGCCTTCACCACCATAAGCCCGCAGATTCTTTTCCCATTTCCCTCCCTGCCACCCAGCAATCTCCAATGCAACTTGAAGGGGACACTAAGACGGACCATACACACGAGCAGCAGCGCCCAGAGAGAAACCCTCTCCAACCACAGCGTGGAGACAGCTGACCACAGTGCAAACGGATCACGATAGCAGGGCTGGGTGCTGTCACCCCAGAAAACCAGCGTCCCTGGCCCACCTGTGCCCCAACTTGGGTATCGCGATCCTGTTCTCCCCATCGTGACATCCAGTCCAGGCTTTCAAGACAGCCAGCCCGAGTTCCAGACGGCGGGGGCAGGTGCCTTCGAAGGCCTGGTTGGCTGTCCCGACAGGCGTGCACTCAGTCAGCAGCCTGGACGCCCCAACTGCCATCCTCATAGCCACTCTTGTTAATACTTTTGCCACTGCACAGCCTATCACAGCCTCTAATCCCGGTCCTGAAACAGCAATCATCCATTCAAGGGGACTCCTCTCATTTTCCAAACAATTGGCCACCAATCAAAACCAAGTAAGGAGGAGGATGTGGGATGGAGGAACAGGGAGGAGAAACAGAACGAGGGAATACTGAAGGATTTGGTGGTCCAGAGGAGAGAGGAAATACACCTTGGAGATAAGCTGCACCCTACTTTTCCAAGTAGAGGTCCCCAACCCTCTGTAGGTCGGCTTTTATCAAGATCCACTTGGGATACCCATAATTCCCATCTACAAGTCCAGGGTAGGTGTTAGGGCTGATAGAAATGGCAAAGCCATTGCCTTCTGACCACCACCCCTAATAATTATTGCAGTGAAGCCTCCTTGCCCATGTAGAGATGGCTGGGACAGGGCGGAAGAAGTTGGCTGGGCAGGTTGGCTCAGAGCCCCCTGAGATGGGGGATGACGGAGGTTAATTTGGCACACTGAACCCCCTCTTCTCATAGGTGCTTTGAGGTCCTTCTCTTGAATCCAGTTGGTACTGCCCCTTGGGCTAGTAGAGGGGGAGTTGAGCTTGTCTCCTTCTCCCTGGTTTCCATAGATTTGCCAGGAAGTTGGCAAGTGGGATTCTCCTTGGCTGGTGGAATTTGGGGGGATCCAAAAGGATAGGGGTAAGCTGAAAAGGAGAGCTTTTTTCTGTCTTTTTTTTTTTTCTTACAAAGATTCTAAGAAAAACTCAGGGTGGGGGGGCTTTGGAAGGGGGACCCAATTTAGCCCCATGTCCACACTTTTTCAATGCCTCTTAGGGACCTCCTCAAAGAGAAATGGTCCAATTTCCTCCCCTCTATCCAAGGTCCTCTCCCCACAGAGCGGCTCAGTTCCAAGGAAGTTTGGCACTTTTTTTTTTTTTTTTTTTTAAATGGGGAAACTGGGGAGAGAGAGTTGAGACATTTGAGGAGAGGAGGAAGACAGACAGAGACTAAGATAGAGACAGGACAGAAAACAATGGGAACCACACAGAAGAAAAAAAAAGAAAGTCATAGGGAGCCAGACAAAGAAAGGGGGGAAGACGCTTGGAGAAGGTATGGGAAGCTAGAGGGCAAATGAGAAGGAATCGGGAGACAATTCAATGCAGCAAACAGTTATTAAGCACCTACTTGGTGCTGAAGAGAAGGGTGCAAGGAGGCCACTCAGAGACTCTGAGATCGGATTGGCTAATAGGGAGACAGGGAAAAAAAAAAGAGGTGATGGGTTTTTCAATAATCCCCATCCCTGGCCCCACATCTGTGTCCCCTCTGGACAAACTGCAGCACAAAAGATTGAGGTCAGATTGCAGAAGAGACTTTCAAGAGATGGCAAAGATGGTAGAGTGAGTTTCCCAGGGTAAGATGGGGAAAGGTGTGTGGCTCTCCACTCACCAACATGGTGAGCGAACTAGCTCACTGAGCTAGCAAACTATACCTTTCAGATCGCCCTGGCTGGCTGGGTAGGGGGTCCCCAAGAAATATGAATAGGGAGGGGTTGTTACACAGACATTCCAAGCAAACACTTTGCAGGAGGCCCAGCCTCCAGAGATGTGTCTGTGTGAGAGGAATCCTGGACCCGGCTGATTGGGACCCAGACTCCAGCGAATGGGTTTGTAGAAAGTGGCTGCCAAGCAAAGGATGCAAATGATATGCAAATGAGCCCATTCAGATCCCACCTCCCCACTCCCAGACCTTACTTCACCTCTCCCTGGCTCCTTCCCCTCCTCATAGGGGCCTGGGGGGCTGTAGAGGGATATTCCAGCTAGATACTGTAATACTCGCGTGCGGGTAGAGATACTGTGAAATACTGTAAGGTCTTTTGAGAGGTGGAGGGGAGCAATGCTGCCCCCACCTCTAACCCCAAGAGCCCCCAACGGTAGTAGAAGATATGTACAAAGTTACATCAAGAATTGTTTTGGCACTCAGATCTCCATCTGGGTTCAGTCTGGAGATTAGGGGTGGGGCAACAACAATGGGAAGTGGGGGATGGGGAGGGGGAAGTGGGGCCTGCCCCTCACCCTGGAGATGACAAGGGCATGGAAAAAGTCACCCCAGTGCCCAAGTTACAGCCTCCCATTGGGTGGAAGGGCCGGGGTGGGAAATTCAGTGCAAGGTACCTCGAAGGCTATTGCTTTCTAGGGATTTTCACATTTTGATTTGGGGGTGGCTCTCTAGCAAGGGAGAGGGATCTCCTAGGCTTTAGGGGCAAGAATTGTCTCTGTGGCTTTTCTTCCCTCCTTTTTTAGGAGAGAGACAAGGAGGCTGGATTTCCCCCAAAGCCATAGAGAGGAGAAGGGTCTGGAAGACCTAGGAGGGGGACAAATGGGGGAGAGGGTGGGCATGGGGCTCCCCTCCCCCAGAGATGCTGATGATGGAACCAGGGCACTGGGCGCCCTGCTTTGGGTTGGAGAAAGTGGAGGTGGTCTCCAAGGAGGAGGGGGAGATGGGTGGGGGTAGAGGGAGGTCTTAGCTATCCTAGTCTATAGGGTTGTCAGGCCCTGAAATCTCAGTCTGCCAACAGGTCCTTAGAGCTGACCACAGCCACAGCACTCAGGGAGCCACTCCCAAACCAACTCTCAAGGCCGCCTGGCTTGTCAGACTCCATCAGAACCTTCTAGTTCTCCAGAGCCCCTGGTGAGCACACCAAAACATTCTGATCCATCAGACATCACTAAAGCATGCCAGCTTGCTGGAAGCCACCAAACCAATCTAACCTATCAGACCACATAAAGCATTCTGGTCCAAGGGACCCTTCCATGGCTCACTGAACTCTACACCGGGCCACACTGGCCTGACAGAGCCACCACACATTTGGCTCACCCAATTCAACGAAACAAAGCCACGCAGACACAGGCATGCACACAAAAGGCAGGGGTGGGAAGGGAGGTCTTTAACAGTAGTTTGCACTAGGTCCATCTCCCACCCCTCCCTCCAGGGCGAGTTCGCAGACTTGACGTGTTTGAATGGAGATGACCCTGACAATATTGGGTTTTTTTCCCTTAGAGTTCTCCAGATTGGATCCAAGTCCCGTGCCTTATTCTCTTCCTAGGAAGACCCCCAGGCCAACACCCACCAAAGAAGGGTGTGGAGGGAGAAGGCAGGTCAGAGACTGGTCACTGTCCAATACAGGAAGTACATGCTTCAGTCTAATGACATCACAGGAAGTGACCTCTAGGCACCACCAGAAGTACATCTTCCCATGATATCACCAAAGTGACCTTCAAGGAAGAACTCATTGAGACATCACAGGAAGTACCTGCTCTCTTACGTTCACAGGAAGTAACCTCTGGGGAACTGCTTCCTGTGACATCATAAGAAGCGCTCAGAAGCACCCCAGAAAGTACTCAGTGACATCACAACAGAGGCCCTCATTGCCATTACTCTAAACCATCAGAGATACCACACCAAGTTGATCCAGCCTCTTGCGAGTCTTGCCCACAGGACTGGCCCAATCCCAGAGCTGGCATCCTTCCCAGCAGCACCGTCCCTGCCCCCCATACAACCTGACAACAAAAGAGTGAACATTCCCACCTAGAGGGACAGCTCCAGTGGGAGGAGAGTAGCTGAGAAGATCTGGGAACTCTGGGGTCCCTGCTCCAAATGCCCCATTTCAGCTCAGACGCCTCTGCTACCTCTACTCCCATGGCTTCCCTCAGATCTAGAACTGAAAGCAGAGAGGTGGGGTATTGTGTTTTGGGGAAGCCCCTCATTCTGGATGACCCAGAGGCTCCCTCCCCTCCTCCCATATGGAAACAAAAACTTATAAAGGGGAAAAAATCCTTACCAAAAAAAAAGAAAAAAAAAAAAGGAGGGAAAGAAAGAGAAAATAACGCTTTGTTTTCTATTAAAATCAACAAAATGCAATATATACAGATATCACACAGACCTGGGCCCTGGGACAGGAAGGGTCAGGCCCAGCCAAGCACAGGGAGGGAGGAAGGAGGGGTCAGTTCCGGGCTGGGGAGGGGGCTTCTGAGCCCCCTTCCCAACCGTCACTCAATCCTGCCTATGACTACCAGAAGGGGAGGGTGCAGTCGGGCCTACCCCAGCCCCATCCCAAGAGGAGCAGGACTACACCAAGCTGAGGTCAGGAGTTGGGGGGAGGAGGAGAGGGAGGAGGAGGAGATGGGAGGAGAGAGAAGGGTGGGAGCACACACCACAGGCCTCATCCCACTTTCTGGGGGTTTGAGGCCCTCACTCCCTGCTCGTAGGTGACCCGCTGACTGATGAGGTATTGAGCGGCTTGCGTGGCCGCGGGGCTGCCCGTGATGGTGACCCGCCGGTTCCGCGTGCCTGGCAGGAACTCGCCCTTCTTGGAGATCTGGATGCGAGCGCCCGTCAGCTCCTGGTACTCCACCAACGTCTTGCCCCCCTTCCCCAGGATGGCTCCCACCAGGTTCTCAGGCACCGCAATCTCCACCAGCTCCTTGGCACTCTCAGCCGCCAGCTTCTCCGCTGTCAGGAAGCCCCCGGCCGCACCGGCCGCGGCTGCAGC